ATCTTTTCTCCATTTTTGTTTTCCCAAAACAATGAATCTCAACTGTTTCCTTTTCCAATTAAGTCATGATGGTGCCAGGAGAAGGATAATTCCAAAGCACTATGAACGTCTATCTACTGACTGCAAAACAAAACTGCTTCTTATAGACTCATTTTACCTACTAAGAACATTAATGAAATAGGGGTGCCTGGCTGGCTCAGTTGGTAGAGTGTGCGACTCTTGATCTCAGGGTCATACTCTTTTTTTTTAATATTTTATTTTATTTATTCATGAGAGACACAGAGAGAGGCAGAGACACAGGCAGACGGAGAAGCAGGCTCCATGCAGGGAGCCCAATGGGGGACTCAATCCCAGGACTCCAGGATTATGCCCTGAGCTGAAGGCAGGGGCTAAACCACTGAGACACCCAGGGATACCCTCAGGGTCGTACTTTTGATCTCAGTGGTGAGAGTTGAAAGCCCACACTGGGCATACAGACTACTTCAAAAGTGAACAAATAAAAATAAAATTAAAAGGAATATTTATGAAGTAGTGCAAGACAAGGATATTAAGATATATTTGTAAGATACTTTAGTTTTTCAAGACTTTCACATTGAATTGTTGATTCTGGGTTACGTATTATGATGCTAAGTGTATCCAATCCAGGTCTATAGTGACGGGATTTTGAGTGGTTTTCCTCAAAGTGTGGTCTAATGACCATCTGCATCAACATCATCAAGGCCTCTTGTTGAAAATGTGAGTTTGGGTCCCCACATAGGACAGTGGAAAGTGATTCTCTGGAGGCTAAGCCCCAGAACCATGCTTGCTTAACAGAACCCCAGATATTTCTCCTGCAGACTAAGGTTTGAGATACAATAGGTTAGTATCTGTATCTTCACCCTCTTGATTTCCTAAACAATGACAGAAAGCTAGTTGTGGGTCAGAGTGGAGACTTTCCAGCACAGTGGATCTCATCACTGGCTGCATATTAGAATAACCTAGAAAGTCTTCTAAGAGTGTCAATTGCCTGGACCTGGCCTAGAGGAGGTCAAGAACAGCCCTTGTTCTTGATATTTGAAACACAACATTTGGCAATTAAATGCATAGTGTCTTCTACTATCCTCTTTCTAAGCCGTGGTTAAGTTTTTAAGCTTCACCGTGACTAGAAGTTCCACAAGAGTCATACTTTTTAGCAATTATATCTCCCCAGATAATGGTGTCTGCACATAGGAGTAGGTCAAATAATACTCCTTGCATTATAGAGATTGGGCTGGAAAGAAGGAAATAATGGGATGAGTACAGGATGAAGCAATTTCTTAAAAATAGTCATGTTCTCCAGGGGTTTGAACAATATCCAGTGAAAAAAAGAGAAGCCGACCTCTGGATGGGGCCTACAAGCTGAGAGGACATGATGGGAACCCCGTGGGTCAGCGAGGGCTTGTCTGTCCCCCAGGAGTCTGTGGAGGAGAGTTGTGATCATTACTGCCAAGGCCAGCACGGGAGCATTGGTTGCCCTGAGAAGGCAGGTGCCCTGTGCAGGCCCGGCCCCTGAGCTAGTTCCAGGACTGGTGGTGAGGACTGGAATTTACAACTGCCAGTGGACACAAATAAGCCACTATCTTATTTGCTTAAACATCCTTCATATAGCCATCTACTTTTTACAAAGCTGGGGTTTTTCATTTAACAAACCACTGGTATTCTAACTAGCAATAGCCAATTGTAAGGAGTTTAAGTGAATTTTTGTGTGCTTGTGGTGTTTGTTTTATATTATGTATATATATATTTAAAGATTTTATTTATTTGAGAGAGAGAGGGAGAGACTGTGTGTGGGGGGGACGTGCAGAAGGAGAGGAACAAGCAGACTCTGTGCTGAGAATGGAGTCTGACCTGGGGCTCGATCTCAGGACCCTGAGATCATGACCTGAGCAGAAATCAAGTCAAATGCTTGACCAACTGAACCATCCAGGCGCCCCTGTGTTGTTTGAATTGTAGAAGGTCTTTTTTTTTGAGTTTCTCCAAATATTGCTCTGCTTTTTATTTCTCGTTGCTTAGTCTGTAAGTGGAAGCTGTTAGAGTTCCTAAAGACGATCTGTCGATTGAGTTGTCCCTGGGTGCTCTTCGTCTTTGAGGGACGTGGCTCTTAGAATTGTAGGTTCTGCGGAGAAGGTATTAGCTACACCAGGAGATTTTAACTAGAATAAGAGCTGAGATCCCTGAGTACGAATACATTTAAAATAAGAATGGTTGGTGTTGTTGATTACGATGTGAGCTAGGGGCTGAGTGGTAAACTAAAACAAAACAAAACAAAACAACCAACTTGAAGAATGTGAGCGAAAGATTAAATATGTGTACTTAGGTTCAGTCTGAGGATGAATTACTTACTAATTTTTTGGCTACGGATGATTTTTTGATGGTGGCATTTATAAGACTGTCCTGGTACCAGTTGTGAATTGTAGGGGATATGATTCAAGTATTAAGTAGTGAAAGAAGATAGATTTTCCTTTTCCAGGGTTATTTAAATTGGCATGAAAGAAAAGGCATGACTTAGGGACACATATAGAGGCAAATAACAATATTACATGTATATAATGGAGTTAGACTGGAGGAAGAGGAGCTGCAAAATGCCTCCAGGAATTCCTAATGAGAATTAACAGAGAAAGGAAGAAAAATACTTCAGTCTTAACGTCTGTATATCAACATAGATAGAGTATGAGAATGTTAAGGAGTAAATAGTGAACTTGAGTTTTTGATACAAGTGGGTAAATTCATTCTGTAAAAATTACTGAGGCCAGCTGAGTTGTAATTCATGATTAGAATAAGCAGAGAAAAAGGATTCTTTCCCAAAAGAAACCAAAACTGCAAGGGGAAGAATGCCATTGTCCAGGACACGACTGTAATTATGACGGGTTTGTTTTCTTCCTTTGCTCTCAGTTCAAAAACAAGTATCACTTGGATATTTCCCTCTGTGGGAAGCGAGGAGAAGTCCTCAGGAATAGGTACTCCTCGTTAGGTAATTCCCTGCTAGCCCTTGCAAACCCAACGTTTTACTGTGATCCTTATGAGACAAGTCACCCTAAGCCCCCTCTGATCATTTGCTGTGTTCAAGGGGGTAATCACACTGTCTGCATAATTTTACATAGACTCTAAATGAAGAACATGTGGTCAGTCTGGAGTTTGCAACTTCTAGGTTAATTTACTTGATGTTTTATGTAAAGCTTCAAAACAAAGGAGGTTGCGTTTCCATTTAATTCACGTAAAACCTTTCCTGCCCTCTCTCTCCTAGGGTCCCAGGTTCTGATATTTCTTACGGCTTCCCCCTCTTGGTATAAATGTCACATGGCGACCTCTTCTCCGCATTAGGGATGAAAGCCCTGGCCTACCTCCGTTGTCAGAAGAAAGAGGGAAACTACAGCCAAGTCACCCATTTGCACAGAAAGGCGTGAGCTGAGACTTAACTTATACTTTTCCAATAGAAAGGAGTGATCCCTCGCTCAGGGAACTGGTATTTTAATGACACGTCATCTGTATTCGTCACAGATGAAAATCAAATGGAAGTCTGGCTCCTTTCCTTCCCCCAGTTTCTCTCCTTTAATCTCCACTCCAAGCACTACTTGCGTCTGAAATAAACATCATTTTGAAAAGGAGTGCTTTTTTCCTTCTCCCCTCTCCCCTCCCCTTTTTCTTTTTAAAGCAAGAGTTGGCATCTGGATGCTTCAAGCTGCCAGGTGTAGCCCATGTAGAACCACAGCTGTTCTCTCTGATAACTGGAGGAATAAAGAGCAAGAAGGAGCTAGACATTTGGAGTCAGCAAGAGACAATGCACTGTCATTATTTTAATTACACGGGGCTACTGATTTGTACTGTAATTGCAATTTAATATTTTTCTAAAAGTTCATGATATTCATGGAAAAGTACCCGAATATGTCATTTTTCAATAGCCCTAAAGGTTACCAATAAGAGCAATACCTGGGCACAGAAGCCGGGAGACAGAGAACAGTGATGGTTGTCACGGTTCTTAAAGCTCTATCTCAAAGTCAATCTAACCGGGAGATTAATGAAACAGAAGTAAAAACTGAATGCTTTCCCTAGTTAATCTGCCTTGATATATTTATTTTTTCATAATCACTTTCTAGCAAAAGAGGTTTTTGTCTGAATTTTTTCCCTATGTATTACTTTTAAATTGGTGAGTTTTTTCAAAATATAATTTTACTAGCAAATTACCATTGCTGGGGGGGGGGGGTCTGCATCCGTATTTACTTAAAAACCGATGATGGTAAACAAATGCGTTAGGTCATAGTTAAAAAATCAAAGCCAAAGAAAGCCCTTTTAAGAAATAACATATGTCCAGTTTATCTGGCTGGGTCACGATCTACACCTAGATTTCACTAAGCCTCAACATATTACTACAGTTAATCTAGGCTAAGATATCATTAGCATAACAACATGCACAAACAGATGGCCGGGTGAGCAGACTGTCTTCAGGCAATGCCGTGTTAATCAATATGATGACCAGCATGGATTCAGCAGAAGAGTCTTGGATTCAGAGTTCACGCGATGGCCAGCCATCTGACGGAGGGACACACACGTCATAATTGGAAGACGTTATCTTCGTTTCCTTAGACTGCATCGACGTCAAATACACTGTTGACGATGTAAATATTTAATCATTCAACCATTTCTGAGAGCCTCCTACATGCAGGCACTACTCCCAAGAAGCTTTCGCCCGCTGGAGTGACAGGCACAGACTATGTCCCTTTCAGCAGGTGAGAGTGTCGCCAAGAAAAGGAAAGGAAAGTGGAGGAAGAGCAGTGAGGAGGGCAGCGGGTCGGAAGTCCCCGTGGGGAGAGCTCGCAGGGAAAGTCAGATCCTCGAAGCAAAGATCTGAATAGACGAAGGGGGTAGGACGTGCAGTTATCTTGGGCAAGGGTACCCCCCAACTAACTGAAATAACAGGTAGAAAAGTCTTCTTGGTAAATTACTACAAATATTTGTTTATTCAAAAGATAGGTATTGAGCATGTTCTACGTCCTAGAGCCCGGGCCCCGTAGAAGGGTTACGGGGGGAGGCACGGCACCCGTCGTCAGGACAGTCCTGGATAAAAACATAAAAAGGGTAATTATGGCAGCCCGGGTGGCTCAGCAGTTTAGCACCGCCTTTGACCCAGTTTTAGCACCTCGTGACCCTGGAGGCCTGGGATCGAGTCCCGCGTCGGGCTCCCTGCGTGGAGCCTGCTTCTCCCTCTGCCTGTGTCTCTGCCTCTCTCTCTCTCTGTCTCTCATGAATAAATAAATAAAGTAAAAAAAAGAGTAATCTTAACAAAAATGCTCGTTACCAATCTTGGGTCTATGCGTGGGGCATTTAGGTGCAATGTCTGCGTTTTATCTTGGTCGCGTTATCAACAACCATAGGACGCCCATCTCTAAGTGGCCTTCAGGGAACACACAGTAGTTGACACGGTGATATAGTCAGAGGTTTGGGTCCAGTGGCTCTCCTAGTGTGGCAACCCGGGCTTGTCCTGCCGCGCTGGCCCCAGTCCGACTCTAGCTACACAGAGCAGGCTTTTGTCGGCTTTGGCCGCCAGCAAGTCGAGGCCTGGCACCCGCGGCGCCCTCCCTGGATTCAGGGTGTGTTGTCCCCCACGCTCTCTTCTCATCTCTCAGGTCTTCTTTTCCCAGTCGTGGCCTCACTCACCAGGAGGCTGGGTTTGTATCATGACAAAGAAACCAGTGGTGCTCTGACTGCATCTGGCTCTTTTTTTTTTTTTTAAAGAATTTATTTATTTATTATTAAGAGATGGGGGGGGGGCAGAGACAGGCAGAGGGAGAAGCAGGCTCCCTGCATGGAGCCTGACATGGGACTCGATCCTGGGTCTCCAGGATCAGGCCCTGGGCTGAAGGCAGGCACTAAACCGCTGAGCCACCCGGGCTGCCCTACACCTGGCTCCTAATGCTCTCTGGCCTGCAGCAGTGGGGGCCTTCTCCCTGCTCCCTGTATCCTTGTTCCACAAGGCTCACGTGCACTCAGAGACCGACGACCCTATTCCCCATGACTGACCCTCTGGTGACATCCCCCTGCCCTCCACTGGCTAGGTTAGGTCAGGAAGTCGCAGCCCAGGTGAGCAACAGCTCCCCTAGAGTCCCACCCAGTGTGGAAGTGGGACCGTAGCAGAACTGAAGGCACAGCGTCCTGCACCTGCAAAAACAAGACTTGTAGGGCAGGAGGGCAGTTCTGGGACCAATGTCAAGCCAGGTCGCCTGCGCCACCCTTGTCTACACAAGCTCCAACAGTGTCCAGGTAGGTGAGACAACGTGTGTGACACGGTTAGAGCCCTTAGTAAGGGCCTCTCATTACTGCTGATCATAAATGCAACAGGATTGGTAGCAAATCTGGGCTCATGGAGACCAGAGTTTCGGGAAGGACGGAGAGGGCTTTCCCTCCTGAAAGAAGGACTCAGAAGGACTTTATCTTCTGAAAGCAAAGCGAGTGACGGGCCAGCCCAAGTCCGGGCTGGGTGCTCTGGGTTCTGCTGAGGATCCGCTGCCCTCGGCGACAGAGAGCCGCGTGTCTCCAGGTGTGCCTGTGAGCGGAATTGCTGCCCCCAAGGCCGCAGAGCTGCCTTCCCCGCCGCTACTCAGAGGCACCGGGGTCCTTACCTTTCGGGTCGTGAGCAGCACGGGGGGCTCTCAGGGGCACCCAGGGCCTCAGCCGATGGCTTGTGGGCGCAGGGTCGGGCATCCCGCGGCCGAGGCCTCAGCGGGTGGCCGCACAGGTGAGGTGCGGTCACCTGGGTCCCCCGCGGCTGCTCGGCGCCCAAGCGCTTCTGGCAGGTGCCCGGGGGGCACGGGGCGTCCAGCTGGGACGGCAGCTGCCGGTCCCCGACAGACAGGAGCTGCCGGGCAGTATTTCCGCGGCCTGCTGCTGGGGGCGGGATGGGGGGCTGGAGAACCGGCTCCCGGGGACAGGGCCGAGCAGGGCGGCCGTGCACCCCGGCCTGGCCTCCGCAGGTTTCTTCTCGGGGGTGTGTCCGTCCCTGTCTCCAAGCCCGTCTGCTCGGGATGCAGCTGTTCAAAGAATTCTTCTTGACGCCTGCACCCGTCAGGGAGGGTGGTGAGCGCGGCCCGGCTGCCGGTGCAGGGGGGTGCGGCGGGTCTGGGGGGTCAGGCGGTCTGCGGGCTGGTCCTGCCGCGTGTTCGCTTTCTGTGCCAGCGCGAGCGGAGGGGCTCGGACTTCCACGTGCCTCGTGTTAAGCACCTGAGCTCCCGGGGCCGACGCTCACCCGGAGGCCTCGGGTCGGATGGGAATCCTCGCAGGTGTCCGAGCTCCGGCTTTCCTTGTGCGCGCACGTGTGTGGGGGCGTGTGTGCACGTGGGCCTGTGTGTGCACATGGGTTCCCTCGCACATGCTCCGTTTCCTGCAGCCCCCTGCCCCCCCCCTTGCCCCCCCAGCACCCTTGCCCTCGACCGGGTCACTTGTACATGCTCCTTTCCTGCGGCCCCCTGCCCCCCGTTGCCCCCCCTTGCACCTCCCTGCACCCCCTTGCCTCCCCCTGCACCCTTGCCCTTGCCCGGGTCACTTGCACATGCTCCCTTTCCTGCGGCCCCTTGCCCCCCTTGCACCCCCCTGCACCCCCTTGCCTCCCCCTGCACCCTTGCCCTCGACCGGGTCGCTCGCACGTGCTCCCTTTCCTGCGGTCCCCTGCCCCCCCTTGCACCCCCCTGCACCCCCCTGCCTCCCCCCGCACCCTTGCCCTCCCCGGTCGCTCCCACGTGCTCCTTTCCTGCCCCCCCCCAGCCTGGGCCGGGGCAGCTGCGCAGGTGGTGGCGCTGCCGGTAGCAGGCGAGGCCGGGCTGTGGGGTGCAGGGCGGACGCCCCCGACGGGTGTGGCCCCTGGAGCACAGGGACCGGGACAGGGCGGCGGGGGCGGGGGTGGGCGCTGCGGGGCCTCGCTCTCCTCTCTTGTTCCCCCTCCACCTTGGCCTTTCGACACGTGGAGCCGGTTCTGGAATAGTTTTCTTTTATCTATATTTTTATTTTAGAGTGATTTTCGACCAGTTTCCAGAGGGATATGCCTCCTGGCGGGTGACCTTCCTCTGCACTAGAATCCTGGGAGGAGTTTCTGGCTTCGTGCCTATTTGGGGAGTGACGGCCGCTGGGTCCACCTAAGACGGGTGGGCTCCCATAGGGGACTTGCACCACGGTACAGATGAATTGACTAAAAAAAATGACATGCAGTAATTTATTTGTTCATTTGAGAGAGTGAGAGAGAGGGAGCAGGAGCTGGGGGTGGGGGTGCAGGGCGGGGAAGGGGTGAGCAGAGCTCCCCGAGGCCCCCGAGGCCCCCTCCAGACCTGAGGGTGGACCTCAGCCCCCTGAGCCGCAGGTGCCCAGACCCTTGTTTGGAAAGAACCCATATGAAACATTTTCTTAGGGAAAAAACCCTGACTTTTAAGTGGCTACTATGCCATTTTCCTTCTAGGACAGTAAAACTGCAAGTGCCAACATTTCTGGTTTGGTGTTTGTCATCAATGGTTCTGAAAGACCTTGTTTTTTGAAAAAAAAAAAAAAAAAAAAGAATGTTATGGTCTCATTTAATATTAGAATCAGTTTGATATCCAAGAAATATACTTGGGGTTATTTGGGCCTGTGTGTTGGTGGGAATAAAAATTTCAAATTCTAAGTAGTGAGAACTTTTATGAAAAGAAATTCTAAAAAAATAAAAAAAATAAAAAAATAAAAAAAATAAAAAAAAATAAAAAAAAAAAGAAATTCTAAAGAAATTCTAAAGCTCAAGCAAGGAGGAATTTCACATATATCTCTCCTGAATTGTACAGGACTTCTGTAATCTCAAGTTACAAATCAATAATAATATTAGTAGAGATTATAGTAATTTTTTATTGGGTTGTCAGGAAATTTTCTCCTGCTTTGGTATATGTGTTAACAATGTAATTATTATTTTTATCACAAACATTAGCAGATCTCTATTAATTATTTGTAATAGTCATTGATATATAATATCCATACAATAAACAGAGCTTTCAATTTAAAGAAGACCCTGCATGGTTGATTTTGGAGATTTAAAAAAAAAATTCATATTAATCTCACTTTTTTGTCTTAGTTTTAGTTTTGGTGTGGTATTCAATCCTAGTGATATTGGTGAGGAATTTAAATTAAAAAAAAAAAAAACTTATAGAAGCCCAGGAACATGGACATGAAAGAGGCTGACACGCTCAACAGGGTTCCTTTACTTAACCTATGCCATTTTACCAACAAAATCAGGAAACATGATAAAGAAATACAATTATGTGTTTTATTTAAGACAGCTTTTCTTTCTGGTTTCTGGCAACAGAGTGAAAGACCAGTTTAAAAATATATGATCTCATTTGAAAAAAACCCAAACCAAAAAGCCCGTTTTTTTTGGGTCTAGAGACAAAGAGCCATTAACAATGGTTGTCTTTGTGAAACAAGTTTATGGAGATTTTCACTTAGTATTTTAGTCATTAAAATCTTTCTGAGACCATATAAGGCCTCTGTAGTCCAAAATTCTCATAAATCATTAATAAAAATATTAACTTTTTTTGTTTATATGAATTCCTTCTAGTACTTTTTTTTACATTTGAACAATGATTCTATTATCACTGACATTAAGAAAATTAAATATCTATAACCACGACTTATGGAATCATTTCTAGTCCCAGCTTTTAAGTTTTATGGGTGGCAAAGAAACTGAAATTGATTTTGAAAGCATAAAAACTTTACTTTTTAAACTTAAAGCCTATTTTGACAAGAATGACTCTAGGTTCCATGACAAATGACCTAAAAGTTGCATATTTCAGAAATTACTTACAAATAGAATGGCCACATGATTTATCTTCTAAAACAGAACACTTTTGAGAGTGAAAGAGACCCTCTTACTAATGACTCGAGGCAACAGGCTTTGTTTGGGACGGTGCCAGGTAAAACAAGGATGTGTCGCATCAGTCGCCCTACTAATCAACTAAAAATAAAATATTAATAAAATCGATATAGGAAACCTTATTAAGCAATCTCTGTGAGAAGTATTCTTAGTAAAGAAGTGTTCCGGTGTGAAATCCAAGGCACATTTTAGGTTTCGTGTTCATGCTGGAAGCTGACATGTGAGCAATGTGGTGTCAGGCGAGCCCGGATAGCCGGCAGAGCGCAGAACGTGAGTGGGTCCATGGAGGTTATCTCCAGAGGGTTCATAATCCAGGTGCCCCAGAGGCCGATTTTGAGGCTATTTCTATGACATCATCACGGACCTGATGATGACAGTAAAAGGGAGGCTCCAAGGTGGTCCTGGGGGGGGGTGTCCTTCCATGAAGGTAGTGTTCGCTTACATGTGATCTGTCTATGCTACGATTTCTCTCCCCGCTAAATCGCTGATGAAGTTCATCTGTGTAGAAATCACTCATAATCCATTAGGAGTGAGTGGGACGAAGGCAGCGATTGGGGTAAGGGCGAAGTTTAACTAAATCCGAGATAACTTTTAAAGAAAAAGGTAATATATTGCATTTGAAAAGGCATCGCTTGCTCATTATTCCTTGCTGTTAAGTAGTCCTATTTATCATGTATTAAAAGAGACAAGGCAATTTCCCACCGAATGTGGTGAAAATCAAAAGGCTATAAAAAGAAAATAATTTAGTGTCAAGGCACCCTATGGGGTTTGCTTATATGTTTGTATATCTGTCTACAATATCATTTCTTCAACAATAGCCCCCTGCATCAGATACGTGGGAGCCTTTCCACACTCAAAAGACATATTTTTAAGATGGCAAATGCCGTTTTCTATCCGGCCAACTGCTGGGATCTGATTGGTCATTACCCTATTTCGGGGGAAGCTTCAAGAGCTAATCAGGGGCCTTATCAGCTATGACTTTTATTGCTGCTGCACAGAGAACTTAGCAATAAAGGAAACTGTAAATTCAGGATTTATTCTTCGTAGGGGTGTGCCTCATGCTTGGAAGATTAATGAAGAATTCCTGGTCCATTGTTTATTAAAGATATTGCCGTTCTATAGCATTTTAATTGTAAATCCACTCTTTGACATCCTAACTAATGGTTCCTGCTAAATTAATAAAAGCAACATATTAAGTTTAAATCCCAGATAAGGTAAAGATTGCTGTTTTAATATCCCATCCATATCCTTTATCTTTCTACAGGGGCTTTCAGGCCAGTAGTTTTAATAACATGCATGAATGAAGATGCTCTTTTTTAACTCAAATGGTGGCGAAGAGTTTTTCCTTTATATTAGCAGGCAATCAATTCCAATAGCTTTTTAATGCTTTCTTAAAGAATCAATTTTAAAGCAGACGCTCTTCAGGGGACCCTCTTAAACTTCTTCACAGCCGGTCTCCTAATTTTCTATTACAATGCAATCTAAAGCAGCTACAAAAATAATGCAGATAATGTTTGCTGGGTAATGATTTCCAATTTCCCCATTCCATGTACCCTGTTATTAGGAGGATCATCTTGGTTGTGTAAATTAATTTTCAATTCACTTCGGGGGGACATTACAATGATTTATTCAGCACCGGTGTTGAAGAAAGAGTTGGGAGGATTTTAGCAACCTGAGAAACAAAATCAATTTGTTCTGATTATCACCATGTTAAAGGGGAGAAAAAGGGGGGAGAAACAAAAGAGCACTAGAATGTGTGGGTTGGCTGTGGCAAGGGCACCAGAACCGTGATTCGGGGTTGGGTTGTCACTTCGTGCCACCTGAACTCAGCAAAGGAGCGGTGTTGGGCGACCCACCTCCACTTGAGGATTAAGTAGTGAAACAGCCAACAACGTTCCTTCCAGGGGTGTTTCGGTTTGATCCCTTCAAGACAAGAGAACCACTTCCTTGCCTTTGCTCGGAAGAGACAAGTAATATGCAGCCTCATGATCAAGGGGCGTTGGTTTTCCCAAATGCAGTGTAACTGCCGGTTCGTTTGATACAAAACTTAACACAGGAAAGATCAAAGCAATGTCTCATAACTGTAAGACATGCTACTTTTTTCCTTGCCATTATTTATCTCATATAAATTTTTCCAGGGGGATCCCTGGGTGGCGCAGCGGTTTGGCACCTGCCTTTGGCCCAGGGCGCGATCCTGGAGACCCGGATCGAATCCCACGTCGGGCTCCCGGTGCATGGAGCCTGCTTCTCCCTCTGCCTATGTCTCTGCCTCTCTCTCTCTCTCTGTGACTATCACAAATAAAGAAAAATTAAAAATATATACTACTTAAATTTTTCTAGGACTGTGAACGATGGTCCTTATACTATTGCAAAAGGGGCATCATTTATAAAGGTTTTAGAAACACTTCACATCAGTGAACTTGAAGGGGTGTCGGTCGCTGGAGTCAAGGTCGGGGGAGGCCAGGCGGTCCTGCAAATGGGCCCCCACTCACCTACCAGATCGCTTACCTTCATCCGCCGCGCGCCCAGGAGTCTGTATTCTGGGCTGTGCACCCACCGGACAGCTCGGGATAAGCTGGAAGATAAAAGCAAACGTCGTGAATGTGACACCACAACCTGCAACTCGACCTATGAATAAGTGCTTCATGGTATTACAAGGCTGTAGAATATTTTTTTTAAAGATTTATTTATTTATTTATTTATTTATTTATTTATTTATTTATAAGAGAGAGAGAGAGACCCAGGCAGAGGGAGATGCAGGCTCCATGCAGGGAGCCCAATGTGGGACTCAATCCCGGGACCCCGGGATCAGGCCCTGGGCCAAAGGCAGGTGCTAAACCACCAAGCCACCCAAGGATCCCCAAAGGATGTAGAATATTTTAAATAGTTTAAGTCTGATGATTTAAAGAAATCAGGTCAGGGGAGCCAGGGGAGGTGCCCCCCAGAAGTGATGGTCCAGGCTGCTGGCATCTGACCTAAGCAGGGGATGAGGGAAGGGGACAGTATTTGGGGATAAGAAATGGTATCAGTGTCGCATCTTGAAAAAACACTGTGGCCGCATCGTGGGGACACCCTGGAGGGGAGGCGGGAAGATGCAGGACTTCAGAGGGGAGGATGTCGCCGCAGCCCAGACAGAGACAGGCCGATGGTCGGGGGTTGTGCTACCCTCTGTGGGCAGCCAGGGGGAGGGGGGGGACAGTCCTTTGGTCATCAGGTAGCGGCTGCGGAGAGCACGGATCGGTGGGGCGGGCTGAGCTGGATCCCTGGAGGCGGCACCTTCCTGAAGGTCCTGGGGACAAGCGGGAGTGACCCCGGAATCCTGCCCGAGCAGGGAGCGTGGCCGGGAGCCCAGGGCTTCTCCGAATGCATGAGTCCCAGGGACCACGAAGCAGGGCGGGGGCAAAGCAAGGCGCTGAAGTATTGGGGGGTAGTGAGGGACGCGGGACCGCTGCTGGGGGGCACGGAGGCACCTCAACCCCTGGTTAAGACCAAGCTCTCGACCGGTGCCTCGACCCGGGGCCTGTGGTTTCTGCCTCCTTCCATGAGCTGAGCGCAGGCAAGTCCTGGGTGCAGGATACTCAGTCTGGCCTGAGCAGGCCCCTCAGGTGGCACTGCCCACGGAGCCCCAGGGCAGGCGACCCCCTGAGGGCTGGCCAGTGGCCTCCGAACCTCTGCACACTGTTCCCACCTCCAAGAGCCGGGCAGGGGCCCGGCCACAGGAATCTGGACCGAATCTTCTCTCCCTCCCTCGTTGCCGAATGTACCTGGAACCATTGGTGCTGCTTTGGGGTCTTGGGTTAACGCTGGGGTCCGTGACCCCCAAGGGGCCCAGCACGGGCACCTGTTACCCACAGAGGGGTAGCTCGGTGCGCCACCCCCGTTAGTCTTTCTCAAAGCCATAAAGCAAGGATAGGGGTGGGTTAGGGTATCGACGAGGCTGAAGCACGAGCTCCACGGAATTTATGTGGACACTCCAGGTTCCCCCTCACTGTGATCACCGTTACTTCTTCATGACGTGTGCTCTCTTGACAAGGCAAACAGAAATGAAGACTGAATGTGGGTGCGTGTATGCACGTGCCCGTCTACTAAGCTGGGCTGTTGGAGAAAAAGGAGGAAGGCACTTTTGATCCTTTAACGTTTTATAAATGTTAAGTGCTGTTGTGGCGGGTAGAGCTACTGTATATTCGAAAACTGCATTTAGGAGAGTTAGCGGTATAGGTTTTTTAAATGCCAGCAAATTTTCCCCACGCGTTCCAAATCCATTATCAGTCTTGCCTAGAGAGGAGAACCTGTCCTGATTCAAAGGCCGCGCAAACTACCTTTATTAATTTCCCGGTTCTTTTTGAGTTTTAAGAATAGACTGACAGCTCGAGTCAGAGGTAATCATATCTACATATTCTGCGTGTGGGGGTGACGTTACCCCCGTTTACTTAATCTTTCAAAACTGTGTAAAAGTGAGATCTGTCTGCTGGTTCATTAATGCATCATGAGAAAATGGATAAGTGAATTGTCACCAGATTAACAGGAGAGGTTTCCGCGTGACCTGCTGTGAAAACGTAAGCCGTGCAGCTTTTACAGAATTCACTTCTGGGAGCTCTGAAGACCACCTCAAGGGGAGAGAGAATGAAGGGGGGGATTTTTTTCCCAGCGAATATAAAAGATATGTGACTGACTTTAAAAAACAGGCTGTGACATACTTGAAATGATTTTTTGAGGGGATCTGGGGACACGTCAGGTAAAGAGAAATTCAACTTCCAGAGTTTGAAAACAGAAGTAAATCAGGTCTGTTTGCTACTCATTGGGAATGAGCCGTCCTGTATTAGAAGACACACTGGATGGTGAAAACAACCGGTGATTTGACAAATAACAGGACAGATGCCTGGAATTCCAGGAAATGGTTTGCATTCAAACTGCTTCTCACCGGGGCAGCTATGTCTCACTCAAGGGTGAGTTGTGGGATTGCAGCAAGGATTTTTAAAAAATATTTATTATTTATTTATTTATTTACTTATTTATTTATTTACTTATTTATTTATTTTTATGTATTTATTTTTGTTATTAAATCATGGTTGGTGTGTTTTCTAAGGAAACCAATAGGAAACATTAAAAAAAAAAAAAAAAAAAAAAAAACCTTGGGATCCCTGGGTGGCGCAGCGGTTTGGCGCCTGCCTTTGGCCCAGGGCGAGATCCTGGAGACCCTGGATCGAGTCCCACATCAGGCTCCCGGTGCATGGAGCCTGCTTCTCCCTCTGCCTGTGTCTCTGCCTCTCTCTCTGTCTCTCTGTGACTATCATAAATAAATAAAAAAAAATCAAAAAAAATTTTAAAAAAACCTTTATAAATGAATTATGCTATAACCAGATATAATAACTGAAATAAACAATTTTTGAAAAAGTCTGTGAAGCACTTAACAATAAGAGAGGAGAGAGGGAAGGTGGAAATCAGGCAGTGTAGGGTGGAAGAGCCGGTCCTCTCCCTCCTTCTCTTCCTTTTTCTCCTAAGTTCCTCTTTATATTCTACTATCTTCCGAATTGAATACGTAAGTGGGACATTGAGGACAGAATGTGGAATAAAGGTCTACCAAGAGCAGTGAAGGAAGAGTTAGGCTTTGGCACGCGTTAGTTATTCTGAACACATGCTGAATTTGCTTCCGAGCTTCAGCAAAAACAAAGTCAAATAGGCTGAGGCCTGGCTTCACGTGGTCTCAGAAAGCTCAACTTTTCCCTGCACTGCAGACCAGAAGATTATGTGATGTCAAATAATAAATCAAACAATAACAATTAAAACATGATACACCACGATGATGTGCCAGGCAATGTTGTACGCTGTATAAAATTTATATGTAACACTCACAATGATCCTATGGTGTAGGTAATATGATTATGCCCATTTTATTTTTATTTTATTTTATTTTTTTTAAATTTTTATTTATTTATGATAGTCACACAGTGAGAGAGAGAGAGAGGCAGAGACACAGGCAGAGGGAGAAGCAGGCTCCATGCACCGGGAGCCCGACGTGGGATTCGATCCCGGGTCTCCAGGCTCGCGCCCTGGGCCAAAGGCAGGCGCCAAACCGCTGCGCCACCCAGGGATCCCAATTATGCCCATTTTAAAGATGAAAGAAGCTGAGGCACAGAGAGATTAAGCAATTTGTCCAAAGTCACCCAGATAAATGGGCCTTCAGGGTCAATGTTCTTAACTAGTAGGCTATAGTGCCTGTATATACACCTGAACTGCGTGTGTGTGTGTGTGTACTGATCTAGCCATACACGGATTTGTTAAAAAAAAAAAACAGAATTTGGGACACCTGGGTTGCCCAGTGGCTGAGGATCTGCCTTCGATCCTGGGGTCCTGGGATCGAGTTCCGCATCAGGCTCCCCTCCGGAAGCCTGTGTCTCTGCCTCTCTCTCTGCATCTCTCATGAATAAGTAAATAAAATATTTAAAACAAACACAAACAAAATTCAACTGGGTAAATTTTCAGTTCTAATTGGTTTCGTTAAATGATGCGTGAATTGGGCAGCAGCCCATCTAACAGGTAGAGGGGTGGGTGCTTTGAGCAGCTGTACAAAAATGGAAGGTTTTTATGGGAAGGAAGGCAGGGCGAGAAAGTCATTAGCAAAAAGAAAGAATGGTTTCAGGTAAGGTCCCCTCCTCTTAGGGGGTCTTAGTAGGTGGATTGCCTTATCTTCCTTTGATGGATGGAAAGAGACTATGTGCCAGATACCTCATGGGTGCTGGCCAGAAATCCCAGTTAGATTGGCTTGAAATTCTGCTCCTGGAGAGGTCAAAACTGCAATGAAGTCTTGGTTTGCTGTCCTGAGGGCAAGTGACTCACCTCGGGCCCGCGGTTATCTGGTTAACAGTGTTCAGATGTAGATGTCCACACGTATGGGGAATATTGAGCACATCAATAATTTTGGATTACTTGGTGTCTACTCAGTGCTGTGCCTCGTCTTTCGAAGGTCACTTTGGCGCTGCAGGGAAGCCAGGAATTGTTCCATGTTGCTTCAGCTTAGCGTTTGCCAATGAGGGGTGCTGGGTGAGATTGGAAGGTGGGATTGGATAAGCCAGTGTCCTGTCGAGGCAGATGCAGCCAGATGCATGAGCAGACGTGAGATGTCGTGGAGCCTCCTCAACAGGCCGTTGACAAGCAGCTGCTTTCCTACCAACTACCTATAGTTGATGGAAGCTTTCCAGAGATTTTGATAAATGTGGAAGCTTCTGTGAGCGGTCTAAAGCCACCTACCTCTGACCTTCTTCTGGCTTAGGTATTGGTGGAGGCTTCTCAGACTACGCCCCTGCCCCTAGCTCTTTCAACTTTTTTTTTTTTTAAACCTTTTTGAAGCCTTGAATCCGTATGTTAAATATGTCACATCAAGAAGGCGAAGAATGGCTGTTTTGTTCCCAACCATGGTCTTACCGTAATAAAATACTGAGGTAGTTTTCTACAATGGTTAAAACCATTGGCTGTTGAGTGAGACATATTTAGTTGAGTGTTTCTTTTTTTTTAGTTTTTTATTTATTTATGATAGTCACAGAGAGAGAGGCAGAGACACAGGCAGAGGGAGAAGCAGGCTCCATGCACCGGGAGCCCGACGTGGGATTCGATCCCGGGTCTCCAGGATCGCGCCCTGGGCCAAGGGCAGGCAACAAACCGCTGCTCCACCCAGGGATCCCTAGTTGAGTGTTTCAATTCTACTACAAAACGGCAACATTTTAAAATATATCTGAATCTTAATTTAGTCATTTGTGTAAAATATGGGTAAAAATCGTACCTTTGTTAATAGAACCCTAATAATAGTACCTCTTTTAGGACATTCTGGACATTAAAATGAAACATGTAAAGCACTTAGCATAGGACTAGATGTTATCGGTTACGGTTGTGATTTACTACAGTTTGCTTAGAAACATCGTTCAAATTTATTCTATCATCTTTTCTATAAATCTGGGAATTTAACATTACGTTTTAACTCTCCAAGTTAAGCGGGAACTAAGATAATACTGTAATGCAATCTGGTTTCCTTCAGAGTATTTTTGTAGTGAATACATACACTTTTTCCTAAAATAAGAAAATAATATAGGCTCATTGTTAAAAAGTTAAAAATACAGAGACATACGAAGTCTAAAAGGAGTTTCCACCACCTTTGAATAACTGTTATCGTTCTATATTTTTTATATGCACGTGTATGTTTATATACATTTAAACAAGAACAAAACCCAGATCCAATTACATTCGCATTTCCACATTTTTTTTTTTACTTAATGTATCTTTACAGATCTATATACAGAGAGAGCTACCTTAATCTTTCCAGTGGATTTATGGTATTTTGTTGTATTGCTAGGTCACACTTAAATTAATTAACCTTGTATCTATGAGTATGAATTTCCCATTTATCTTCACTATAAAAATGTTTCAGTCAGCATCCATGTAAGTTTGTGTAAAGTCTAGTAATTTGCTTAGAGTGAACACTTGAACGTGCAGTTTTCAGGTCAAAGCAAACGGGCATTTTCAATTTTCTTTCACACTGTTATGTGCCCAAGAGAAAGTTTGAATAAGTTTTTACTTCCAGCAAGAGAACATAAAAGTGCTTGTTTCTGTAAACTCTTGATAAGCTTCTGGGTAGCTGGTGATAAAGGTACAGTGTTTGCAATATCCAGGATTCGGGGATAATTAAAATGTCCCTTATCCCATTTGTATCAAGCGTTCATTGTCTTAAGCGAGTCTTTGGCAAATGCTGGAAGGAAGTCGGTTCTTAGGGAAATTCTCTGATGAGTGCTCTAAAGGCCAGGATTCTTGTTGAATCAAGAGAAACCATATGCTTCAGATACCAGCTGCACAGAGCACAAATCTGACATGCCACTGTGAGCCTGTGAGAGTCTGATTTGAGCTCAGCTGCAGGATTTTTCAAATCAAATAGAGGTGGGTTGTGGGAATGCTGAGAAAATAACTCATTAAACATTTTTTTTTATTGTCTTAATAGAACTTGAGCATTATTTAGTTGGGATGTTTGGGTGCTGGGCCAGGCACAGAAGTGAAGAGGTGATTTTGGTCTAATAATCAACCTCTGTTACAGAAACAAAAGTAAACAATTCAAACACCTCAACAAAAAGGTGAGATTTTGAGTGAAAGTAAGATCTCCTTGCTTATCTAAACGGGTCAAAAAGCTTTTAAGTAGTTAAATGAGTAGAGCTCTTGGGTGGTGTCATTTCATTTCAGCTTAAACTGTTGCAAAAACCATGTCCTTATTGATTGATGCCAACAGGAGTAAGGAAAACAGGCAGTAGCTTTTTTAGGGCCATTTTGTGACAGCAAAATGGGAACGCTGACCCAGGGAAAGGCAACAATTTCCTTCTTGCTTTGACTGAAGAGAAAGCTCCCACTTCATCAAGACCTGCATCTGATAATTTGATGTAAATTAAAAGAGTAACAAGGGCTCACAGCTGCTTTAGGCCATTTGAAATTGAAAATTAATTTGTAAAAGAAAAAAAAAAGAAAAAAAATAATCCCTTCTCCAGCAGTTTTGACAATAATATTATCTGCAGCCTACTCTGTGATTCCTGCTTCATAAATTGTCTGTCTAGGAAATCAGAGGCAGATAGATTGAAGGTTTTATTATCAGTTTAACATAGTCAGACTTGATTTTTATTGTTTCTTATCTATATACGTCTTAACTGATTCTCCATATATTCAATTAGGACAAAAATGGAACCAAAATCTAAGAAAAGAACTTTGGAATTGGAAGGTTTTTGGACCAGATACTCCCAGTAGGCTGATATTAATTTGACTTTCCTACTTCTCCACTAAAATTAGTTTGAAGACTGTGGGTGTCAGGAAAGGACTATGAGAATAGGGTTTGCGAGAAGAATCTTGTCAGTTTTAATTTAGGGCGTTTCGCAAAAATATAACTTACATGCTAGCGATACATATTTGAAGAAGCTATTCCTTTGTAGAAAAGAAAGAACAATGAAAATTGATTTGCACAGACTCCTGAATAAAAGCTTTTTTAAAAAATTTTTTTATTTATTTATGATAGTCACAGAGAGAGACAGAGAGGCAGAGACACAGGCAGAGGGAGAAGCAGGCTCCATGCACCGGGAGCCCGATGTGGGATTCGATCCCGGGTCTCCAGGATCGTGCCCTGGGCCAAAGGCAGGCGCCAAACCGCTGCACCACCCAGGGATCCAATAAAAGCTTTTTTTAAAAAAATTGTTTCTTCATTTTTTTATCACCAAACCTTCAGCGTATGTTTTCCACCGGACGCTTAAGATATTAAATACAAATACGCGTTCATTTTGACTGAATTTTTTTGAATGAGATATCTGGCAACACAAAAAATTCATTTATTATTAAAGATAGCAATAATAATAATAATAATACCACCTTAACTTCCTTTAGTCCTTCACTATTTTATAGACTTTTACACAATCAACTATTCACCGCTGGCAAAAACTTAGTATACAGTTTAGGCAGAGAGAATTGTTTCCATTCTACAAAAGATGCCTCCGAAGCTCTGGGAAGGTCACTGACTTCATCTCCCTGAGCCTCCCGAGGGTGATGGAAGCCTTTTCTCCTCCCCAACCCCCACTGCTCCTCCATTCAGGGCATGGCACAAACTCAAAACTATTGTCATATAAGTGATTTGCCTGAGATCACATGACTAACAAATAATTTCTTTGGACTCACACCTAGTATTCCTTATATCTAAAAAGCCTAACAGAAAGAAAGCCATGTTCATTGCAACATTTCTTGCAAAATTAAGCTCTTTTTGTCTGATGTCTAGCTGAATTAAGGGTGTAAGGCTTTTCCGCCGGGGCAGTTCTCTTGAGATTCCTATGAATTAAAGTCAGTCAATCGAAGAATGTTTTTCACGGAGATTCCACTTAGTGGATGTGGTGGGACATGCTCAGAACTCTTCAGGAGTCTCTTTGTCTGACCCCCTTCTGCATGCATGGGTGTAGCATGTCACCAAATGCTCCTCCCCACCGAAGCATAAGGGCTCTGCCTCTTAGGTTCAACATAGGACAACTTTCATGGGCCATCTTAGCTCCAGAGCTCACCTCTTTCGATTGTATCACAGCTCAACTTCTCCCTCTGTCCAACCTGCTTTCCTTGTCCCTAATAACTATTGCTCTTGGGAGACCTTTCCAATAATTTCCTGAACACAAATCTCAGAATCTGTCTCCTGGGAAGATGACTTAAGAGACTCCCACCTGAAATTAGGTAGGAATGGGTGGAGGACTGGGTCCAGCTGAGTCCACGGCTCTTATTCGTCTCAAAGCCTTTCCATGAAGTTTCTTCAGCGGGGTAGACTTCTTCTGGGGTGTCTCAGGGCTTTGGGACATCAATGCAGCGAAACATCTGGTTCACTTAAAGCCTGGGCCTCGAAATAGCATAGCGTTACTTTCTTCATGCTCTGTTGGTCAAACCGATAGGCCAGCCCAGATCTAAAAGGAAGAGAAAGAAAATGGGAGAAGTATGGAAGACTTGGAATTTATCTGTTACATGCAGCAGCTGAAATATGCTTTAGCTTGGCAGGGAGAAATGTTTCTTTCCTCTCCCTCTCCAGGGGGGTGCAAAGTTAACATCCTGTGAATGTTAGTCAGACTGATGAATTTTTCAGTGTCAATAGAAGGAAATTAAGACGTTCACATGGGCAATGGCAGGGGTCGTGGGTGTGATGGCGAGAGTAATGTGTGCAAGAAAGGTAGACCAATTACTCCTCTTCCGTATAAACTATTAGAGGAATATCCACCATAAGTCTATAATTTCAATCCATATTTGTATGTGTTGATGTGTATGATAGCATAGCAAAGCAGAAGCTCAGTTGGTTAGAAGTTAGAAGCCTGAGATCTAAAATCAGACAGACTTGGGGATTTCAGATCCCTCTTTGCTGCTGAATTAATGTGTGACCACCCATGACTGAACCTTGGAGTCTTATTTTTCCCATCTGCACAGTGGGAATAATGATGCCTACTTTATGGATTTTGAAGGTCAAGAAAAACGGAATGAGATAATATCTATAAGATATTTGCATTGGGTTTGGTGTATAATAAATACTCAAAAAATTGTGACTCACAAAAAGAAAAAAAGCAGGAGTCAAAATATTGATATGAAGCCAAACAAAATGATAAAAAAAAATTAGGGGAGAAACAGCAATGATAAAAACTATGAGTAATATTGAAAGACTCTACATATTTCACCTGTTCATTTGTAAAATGAAGAAAGATAGACTTGAACAGCTCAATAATAATGAACTTTGTGCTTTTCCCAACGCCTGGCAGATGACAGACACTCAACATATGCTGCGGAATTTGAATTATCATGAAGATGTGAAGTGGGAAAGAAGCTGCATTCGAAGGGGACCCATAAAGGACAAATGAGAGGGTGGACAATTAGGCAATGTCTTGCTTTCCCACCGGAGCCAGAGTCAGCTGACTTGTATTTTAGTATTTTTGATTCCAACACTATTCAGATGCAGGTTTTAGGGGAAAACTTACCTATCTATATATTTTTAAAAGACCTTATTTATTTGAGAGAGAGAGAAAGAGAGTGAGCGAGCGTGGGGTGGGGAGGGGAGGGCAGAGGGAGACGGTGAAGCAGGCTCCCCCCTGAGCATGGAGCCCGATGTGAGGCTCTACCCCAGGACCTCCCGATCATGACCTGAGCTGAAGGCAGATGCTTAACTGACTGAGCTGCCCAGGTGCCCCTCTATTCGCATTTTAACATTTTTTAGTGGAATTTCTCTCGGTTACTTCTCATTCTTACTGCTGATAAGCTACAGATCCCACTGGTGGTAAAAATCTAGTCACTTGTTGCCGTGACTATGTTTCACAATTTTTATTTATTTTTCTATCTTCTTGACAGGGCATGGCTAAAGAAGAAGAGAAGAGGAAAACCTAGGTCAAAGAAAATACGTGTACCAGCACATCTCAACCATTAAATATTGATAATTTTACATTCTCGTTCTAAGACAACAAGGAATTATCGCTCCCATGTCAACTGGGCTGAAACAGAAGCAGGTCTGGTTTCCTTCCCCTGTGGTTAGCACAGTGTGTCTGGACAAACAGGCAATTAAGTTCTTAAAATATGAATTCAAATGAGGCCGAGACTGGGTGTGTTTTCATATTGTTCTATAAGCAGAGACGTCTAATTCACTGCGGTGGCTTCACTTATTCTGACTCTTCCTGATAAACGTGCGCATTATATTCAATGTAAATACAAATTCTCAGCAAGTTCAGGAAAAGGATTGCTTGTTTGTAAGATAAAAGGCTTATTTTCTTATGTCTCAGCATTGATATGGTAGAAAGCAGCGTCGTTCAGTCGAAAAGGTCAGAAGAGCTTGATCGTACGTCAGTTGTACCCGTTAGCTGTCAGCGTGATCTCAGGAAAGTCACCTCGTGCATTTGCCCTGCAGGTAGCTCATCTCTAACAGTAAGACTGAGGCTAATTCTTGATCATTTGGGCTGGAGGCTCAAAGGAAGTTATGAACGGAAAAAAAAAAAGGTGTTAAAAGGCTACAGAGAGCTCCTTTGCCTTAGGACTTTAACATTAAATCCCAAAAAGTTTTTATAATATAATAGCATCTATTTGCATACTCATAGCCACACATATTTTGGATGTAAGTTTTAAAAAAAAAAATCAACCAGGGCGTCTGTATGCTGTCTGCAAGATAGCCTATTTGTTGGAAATTACATGGATATTTTTTATAAAATACAACACATGTAAACAAATATATAGTTCTAATTTCATTTAGTTTCATGTATGTTAGGTACACCTATAAAACTATATGCAAAATCAAATTAATTAGTAAAATATAACTTTTAAATTATGTGAGGTTGTTTTCTCAACCACTCACCTACTTTTCTATGTAATTTCTTAGAAGTCGATTTTCTGTAGCTTCTTCTGTAGCTTCCTCTCCCCTTTGCTTTCTTACCCCATCCTTTTTATGTATTGATATGGTCAATATTGCTTATGAAAACTCACTGGTTCACTGGCCTTGCTATCTGGGTCTACTCCCGGAAACATACTGTTTCCTACTTGTATTTTAATAAATGCAAAGTGGTGATGTTGGTAGAGGATTGAGGGAGTCCATATTTCAAGTTCCATATAAGACGTTGGGGGAAGTAGTTAACAAATGTCAAGAATTCTAAGTATGAAATGTTCAGAGTTTTCCAAGAGGAAAAAAAAATGGAATAAAATTTCGTCCTCATTCATCCAAATAGTTCTTTTGATCAGAGCAATTCTGAGTATATTCTTTTAACTTCCTAGCTCCACTTCGCTTACTGACTTTGTATCTCCAGTTATCAACAGTTAACAAGTTGGCTGATATTTCTGGCCATCTTCACAATCAATTAGGCATTGATCAACCGATTGACCATGTAGCGATTTGATTTGGTAGTTAAGGCGGCTGCAAATACCGGAGTGACTCTGGTGCAATTGTCGATTCAGCGTGTACAGACGTGCTGTGGGGAAAGAGCTTTGGGAATACGCGTAAAATGCCTCACGTTCACAAACGGTCGTTTGAACGGTAAGCCTGTGTCCAAAGCGAAGTTTCAGTTAAATAATTCTTGTTTTCACAGATTGCACGTTAAAAATAGAATCCCACGTGGAGCATAATTTAAGGTGCTGACACATCAAGGAGAGGTTTGCTTGGCAGTCTTCTGTCCAAAACAGGTGGCTGTACCTGCTAGAGTAACAGCGAGGCGTTCCGGTGACTCCTGCTGCCCTTCAGTGCTGAAGAGGGTATTGATCCTTGCGTTACGTTGTTCTTATCCTGTGTTGGTTTTGGTGGAATGATCAAAATACTTAGGTTCTATTCAATATCATTGTTAATATTTTTCTCTTTTCTGACTTAGCTCTGTTTAAATTAAGAGAACTTAAATATCACGACATGGGAACGATGAAGCCTTAGTCTCTGCAAACAGAGACTGTGTTGTCTCTCTGTCTCCAATATTTACTATCTGGCCCTGAAGAAAAAGTCTGCTGATCCCCGCCAGAGCCACTGTCTGCCTCTAGTGAGCGTTCAAGGCTCTTTTCTGCGCACACCAACCATCCCTCGGTTCCATCCCGGGTCGGCCTGCTTCCGATTCAGGAGCAACAGGAATTCCTCGGAGACACCTCGGCGCCGGGCTTCCGGAGGGCAGAGCTGTGGTGGGATGAGCAAAGGAGTTAAAATCTCTGGTATTTGCAAATGCTTTCAAGTTTTTGGGACTTGGGCTTCTCTCCTTTTAGGTCTGTGTCTTACGAGGATCCAAAGTCTTCTCTCCTTTGTTTTTTTTTTTTTTTTTAATTTTTAAATTTTTATTTTTTTTTTTTGTCTTCTCTCCTTTGAAAAAAATGTTTCCTTGTCTAACCTCCTCAGAAAGTCCCCTCGTCATCAGGATGGAGTCTGCACTCCAGGAATACTTGAGGGGATGTGCTAGCTTGCTATTCTAGGCCTTGAACCCATCTTCCTAGGCTACCTCCTACTACTAATGTGGAAAGATGTTCGACTTAGGTTGTGTGTTTAGGGAAAAAGAGCAAAGGGAAATATGTGACACGTGTTCATAGAGGCCGGAGATTCACCAGGGGCGACTCATTTGGGTTCCATTCTTGCTCACCGGAGTTTGGGATTCTATTCCAAGTCTTGAGGTCAAACTCCAGTGATAAAATGTGTGTACTTGCTGTCTTTTCCAATGATCATTTCTATCTGCTGTGGGGAAAAGCCAGTAGCCTTTCTGTTAAAGATTCAAGATTCTCAGCCAAATAATCCCCCTCTGTACTAAACTAATGATGTTATTAGTTTTGTCATTGTTGGTGCAGTTCCTACCCTCAAGTGATTCCTAGCCTGGCGATAAAAACATCAATGCAGGCAGCTAACCGTAATGAAATGAAGGTAACGTTTCTCAGTGGTGTGATGGAGGTGGCTCTTCCCTGCTCCAGGATTAAATAGCCAGGAATCTTGACAGCTGGTTGATTAACCTTTGGCAGCTCGAATTTCGCCATGGTGAAAATATCAACACCATGGAAATTGGCAAATCAAGACTTTTTTTTTTTTTTTTCCCCTCTCAGAGAGCCAATTTACCAAAACAACACTGCATCGGAGCTGGAAAAAGGAGGGGAGTCATTAGAAACAGAGGGGAGAGACATTATGATTAAGGTACAATTTATAAAAAACATCAGTAATCTTTGATGTTGGAAAAGATTTATTCTCTTCAGTGAATAACTCTTAACTCAGTTTTATTTATTAAAATACGAAAATCACATATTTTCTTATTCTTTTATATACTTAATTTGCCACAGGTCAGGCAAGCAAGGTTTTCTCACCACAATTAGGTGATTCATCCAGACCTGGCATTTTCCAAAGGATATTTTCTTGTCTTCATGAGTCTGGATTGCTCTTCTTCTAGGTCCAGGCACTTCTAGGTCCATTCTTTGGCTCTAGAACCAAAGGCAGATCGATTTGCACAGATCTTAGGATGCTTCTAATGGTGATTAGCCTGGAAAGGATGGACTTAATTTCTTTCTTGAAGGGGAAGGCAGCTCAGCCAGACAAAGAAGGGTAAATCAAGGGCTGTTGCTAGGCCCGATTTGGACTCACCGGTGTTGCTCTGCATGTGAGGATCTATCCTACAATGTGGAGCGGGATTTTTCAACTGCTGTGCCATAGACATTTTGGAGCTGTTAATTGCTCTCGGGGGCTGTCCTACGCACTGTCGCATGGTTAGCAGTCTCCCTGGTGGCTGGCTAGTAGGTACAAGTAGCATGTGACAACCAAAAATGTCTCCAGACATTGCTAAACGTTCCTTGGAGAGCAAAACTGCCCTCCCTGCTTTCTACTGAGAATGACTACTATAGAGTCTAAGAACACGCTTCTAAATCTATATTAAATGCTACGTATTTTATGAAGCTTTCTTCAAAACGGAGTGATGTTCTTTTGTTTGAATTTGTTTGTACAATTGCCTTTTTTTTTCTATCTTTATGGGCACTTAGTAGAGTGTTAAATGGAATTGCACGAGGAATTACATGTTTTTATTCGCTGATTAATCTGCATAATATGCATAATATATGTCAGGGTCTCTGCTGGGTCCTGGAACAACAACATGAACAAGACACGCTCTCAGCCAGTTCTTAACTTTCAGGACTTCTAGGATTGAGACAATCATATTTATCTTCTTGAAATGTCTTGTTCTTTTGGCTTTTTTAATAAATATTTCTTGTTTTCCTCCTACATTTTGCCTAAATGTAGGAATTATCAGTGCTTTTAAAATGCTAATGTCATTTGCAAATGTCCAAAGGAGGGAGTAAAGCATGTGGTGTTTCTTCATTTTATTTAATCCTAGAGCTCCATTTTCTCCAAAGAGTCTCATGAGATTACTAGTCGAAGTCATGGGTTTTGCAAAATACTCATCTACACATTTTTCTGTTACTGAAGGATAGATAACAATCATGTTTTTCAAGATAATGTCTTTAGCTCTGATGTTTTACAGAGCTCTAAACCCAAATATTCAGTTCCTCTGAATATCTCCAGATATCTATGGCCTCCAAAATGTCTCTTTTTTCTCTGTATCTTTCACACTATACTCTCATAAGCTTAGTTTAGTGTAGGTTGGTCATTTGGTATAATTCTATCTCCCATGGTAGACTGTGAGAACCCTTATGCAGGGCCCAAGCCTCTTCTTCACTTTTTCCAGAATTGGAAACAGAATGCGTACTCGGGAGATGTTTCCTTTAAAATTGCATTTAAAAGGCAAAAACCCTGGAAAAAAGTAATACTGTTGGCATCTCTTAGAAAAAAATTTTTTTTTTTTTTGCTTATTTCTCTACATATTTACATTGAGGTTCAAGGGTAGATTTGGTAGCTCTAGGCACCTAAGGTGAGATGCTCGAGACAAATAATAGCAAGTGAAAAAAGGATAGAGAAGTAGGATAGTTGAATTTGCAAAGACAAACTCGAACGATTTAAGAATACTGGACAGTGCTGGCATTATCTTTGAAAAAGTTTTTAAGTGTCTTTTGTTTTTATTTTTGCTTTTTTTGCCAGTCTTGAGGATTTTTCAGGTTGGCTTAGGTCCAGTGTGATGATTAAACATTTGTTTCTTAAAAAGGGAATTGATTCTTTTGTTCTGTGTTGCTCAATTCAAGATTAAATCATGAGGGGATTTGGAAGGATATACTGAAGTTTCATCTGGTTCTGTGAAAACAATATGTTACCACATAATTATTCCTTTGTAATAGCTCAAGAAAGTAATAGTTCTTTTTTCCTTTTCTTTTTTAATTAAAACTCCACATAGTGCTTTTGATTAAATCCAAATCAGAGCAAACGTTATGACTAGGTTTTGGGGAGCCCATCAAATCACCCTGGCACAATTCTTTGCTGGGTCCGGAAATGTCTTTTCTCCCTCTTTCCTTTAGAGATGGGAGTGTTATGGGTACATTTGTCTTTGCGTTCAGGTGCAGCGAGACAGAGATGAGGAAGAGAATCTGCCAAGTACTAGGAAACAATATTAAACGAGCACCTTGAGGAAATTGCAAAGTAGTTTCTACTTTATCAGGATTTCTAATTCCAGGTGTCTTTCTTTGGAACTTTTGTATTACTTTGATATCACTCATAAAATGTTCCATTTCTGAAACTGCTAGATCCACAGAAATCAGTAGCCTTTTTTGGGCAATGTATAGAAAGAAGACCACAGAATACAATAAGTTGATTGTAAAAATAAATGGGTTGATTTTCTCTTCTCAGCTATCAATACAGACTTGTTCTTTGTCAAGAAAAAGCAAATGTTAGCTGTCTGCCCTCCTAAGTCCTTGTGAAAACAAAACAAAACAAAACAAAACAAAACAAAAAAGCTCCGAGGATGAAACTTCATAGTGTTGATACAATCACTTTACATGTGTCTATGATTACCATCATTCCAAGCTCAGATACTACAATCAATAAAATAGGATAACTTCTCTTTGTTTTTATTGTTTTAGACACCCAAGGTCACTTTGCAGTATGAGACATAATTGGACCAAACTGGACCTATATGCACAATGTAATGAAGTGCTTTATAATGAAGTTACCTAATAAGGCTAAATGTACATTGAAACATCATTCGGTGTTTACATTTATTCGGTATTTAAAGTAGATGGGATAAAGAGAATGATTTATTTATTTATTTTTCTCCCATTGCTTTCCTTCCCTCTTCTTGCCAAGGGTGATGACTTAAGAAGGCAAATGGAAGACTACAAAGAAAGGAGTGATAGTGTGGTAGCTTCACTTCAGTATTCACCATCTGTACTTTGAGGGTGAAGCCAAGAGCACAGGACACTACTTTGCTTAAGTCATATACGTGGTATATACGGTCTACATTGCCCATGTTATTAATTAATTAATTAATGACTTATTTACTTTTTTAGGGAGAGCAGAGGGAGGGGCAGAGGGAGATGGGGAGAATTTCCAGCAGACTCCCTGCTGAGCATAGAGCCTGAGGCAGGGCTCGATCTCATGACGCTGAGATCATGACCTGAGATGAAACCAACAGTTGGACACTCAAATGATGGAGCCTCCCAAGTGCCCCTCGTACATGTTATTTAAACTACACAAGTCGGCTTATTCAATAGTTCTTTTTCCCAAAAATAGATTTTAGACACTTGGCAATGTTTTAGGAATGTTAAAAGATAAAATTTATGAGTTAATATATGTAAAGCTCTTAGAAGAGAACAAAGTGCACAGTAAGTAAGCTCTCTGCATTTGTTATTATTGCATATAGAATATTTGCTGTCAGCTTAAGAATAGTAGTTTATATTAAATTAATATTAAGCATGTATTATGTATAACACACACACACACACACACACACACACACACACTATGAGATTCGCAGATTCAGTGAATGCAATGGCAAAGGAAGGCACTAAAAAGAAAATGAAGAATATAAAGCAGAATGGTAAGTGCCGAGAGTTCAGTGAATGGAGAGGTCCTTGTGGCCCCAGGCAAGAAACAGGTTTATTGATTATATGGAGGAAGATTGGAAGAGGTGTGAACATTTCAGGAAGGAAAGGAAAAAAGAACCGGGGATAGGCCTGCATGAAATATTTACAGTCTGGCTGTCCTGGATGCCAGGCTAAGAAGATGAGATTAGAAAGAAATGCCAGAACCATAGGTCTGGACTTGGCTCCATTCAGTCATTGGAGCTTCCTGAGCTGTGATAAGCCAGGTTGATATTTGTGTTTCAGGAGGCTAATGTGGCAGTTATGTATAGAGAGGAATGTTGTGGGAGAGCCATGGGAGGCTAATAAAAGGACTAACTGGTAAATAGGAAAACAGGTAGCATTGGACATGGGGGAAAAAAGTTGAATGCAATGGACATTGCTGAAGAAGAATCATTATGCTTTATTGTTTTTATGCAATGTGGTTTGAACACTCTGCATGTTGGAGTAAATCCTTTTGTTTATAAAGACATTTTGTCAGAATCTTAGGGATTATGGTCAATTTTTCATAAACACTAACTCTGTTTCTATGACTAAAACAACTAAATAACAGTAAATGAAAGACATAACCATTTTAAAGCATTTATGATTTAGTGACTAGCTTGAAAGCTGGTGCTAGAACTTGGGGTGTTGATTAGGCTGACTGTAATTCATTTATAGGCTTTGCAGTTTACTTATGTGAATTTGGGCAAGTTACGTAATTCTCTGAACCATTTGTTTCTTATCTCTAAAATGCTAAATAATAAAACTGTCTTCTTTTTTTAAAATTTTTTTTGTAAATTTATTTTATATTGGTGTTCAATCTGCCAACATATAGAATAACACCCACTGCTCATCCCATCAAGTGCCCCCCTCAGTGCCCATCACCCAGTCACCCCCACCCCCCACCCACCTCCCTTTCTACCACCCCTAGTTCGTTTCCCAGAGTTAGGAGTCTCTCATGTTCTGTCTCCCTTTCTGATATCTCCCACTCATTTTTCTCCTTTCCCTTTATTCCCTTTCACTATTTTTTATATTCCCCAAATGAATGA